GGGGCACACTTGATGGCAGGCACTTCCATTGTTTGTTTGGCTGTTGGGGTGCGCTCCTGCGGGAACAAGACGCCACCGCAGCCCTGCCACGCTTCGGCTTGTCGTAGTGGGGCATCTATTTTTCGGCTGTGTTTCTTTGTAGGGGCGAAGTGTTGCGTGGGGCTGATGTTAGTGAGTGGCTCGTGTGGTGCTGTTTGGCAGTTTCTCTTTGTTTTCTCCCTCACACACACTCTCTCTTTTCTTTACAGGCTATACACATTGTGATGAAGGCACTGCGCTGCGTGTTGTTTGTGTGTTGGCTCCTTGTGTGGTGTGCCTGCGGGTGTGCGGGGGATCCTGCAGAAGGCGGCACTGAACTTGCTGGTAGGGGTGGTGGTGGTGGTGCTGTTGGTGTTGGTCCTGGTCTAGACCCACTGCCTGTGAACACAAGCTGTGAAACTCCGGTTCCCGAAGGTAAGGCTTGCACAGGTCTCTCGTCTTCTGCTGAACCTCCAGGTCCTGTACTGCAGGATGAACGTAATTGTGTGCCTCCTACGGCTCATTGTGCGTCCACCCCCGCGGGTGGAATTAGCGTTGAGGCTGGCGGTGCGACATGTGTGCCTCCTGACCGTACCGCACAGTGTTCCACTGAACCAGTGACGACCGTTCAAGACAGTGTGGTGCCGGATTCTAACGGTCCCATTACTCCTGCGTGTACAGGTGAGGAGGCTTCTTGTCAACAGGGACAACCTCAGCCACAACTACAACCACAACCGCAGCCGCAGCCGGGTTTGGCATTAATGGACGGTGAAAATATGCAAAGTGATAAGGATTGTAAGGCTGGCACTACTACCTGTACTCCCGGTACTGTTGATCTGCGTCCGAATGAAGATTGTGCAACGCATATCCCTGAATGTAAACCTGCCGCTTCTCAGTTGCCTGAGAATGCTAAACTGGATCGTGTACCTGGCAGCACTGGTGAGCATGACGGTCTCTCCGCACCTCCGTTGCAGGGGGAAAGTATTCGCACAGTCAGTGGTCAGTCAAGCATGGAGTTGGCTAATGGGAGCAGGGAAAGAAAGGGGCTGAATAAAGAACAGACAAACGACAAAGTAAAATCGGACCAAGACATTGACGTCCCAGAGAAAGAAAAGGAAGATGTGGACACCAAGCGGGCTTTGAGACCCACGGCGCCACCCGAGGAGCGGGAAACCCCAAGCACCTCTGAGAGCGGTCAAGGTGACACGGCCAATAACGACGGCGTTGACGCGACCTCCCAGAGTACCAGCAGCTCTACTGCGGATGAGTTCAAAGCACACAAAGAGGAAATGGGCAGCAGGCAAGCCGCCAACAAGAATAAGAATAGCTCACCGCTCACGGATGGTGGGATTGCTGAAAACGATTCATTTGCAGCTGCTGCTGACACTGCATCGGAACCTAAAGCCAACCCGTCTGCTTCCACGAGCGCTGCTGCTGTCGAGAACGTGAAGGACCCGAAGGCGG